TGCCTAGCTGCCATGCCACCCGGAGGAAGCACGAGGGCTGGGATGCTGCCAGGTTGCCCAAGCCTAGACATGGGAAGTCGAGTGGCAGAGGTCGGGTTTGAACCACGCACCTTCAGATCAGTAGATTCGCACTCTAACCACTTGGGCCACCTCGCCCCAGATATTTTGCGTCCCATTGATGGGGTTAGGCGTCACAGTACTACTGGGAGCGGTAGTCGCGTTACGATAGCCCTTGGGCTGATACCTATCTGGTTAGAACAGCCGCCCCATGTACTTTCGTTCATTAGAGGTATAATAATCCATTTACTGCAGCTGTCTGAAGTGCGTTCTTGTCTCCAAATATGTCCGAACAGTGTAGGCATGTAAGAACACTGATGCACCATCGTCTTTAGGTAGCACCTGTGGAATCTCACCTATTCAGGCAGCACGATGGTCTTCCAAAACGGAAAGACACCAGTACTTCGTCAATCGAGGGTGGATCTACACCCACAGCAGGAGTAGATCGGATGAAAGACATGGGTACGGAGGCCGATTGCGAAGTAAGCTTTTGAAAATATTCTCTTCAGCGGTCTAGACATCGCCTTTTTTATTATATATTAGACTTCTGTTATTATCTTTGGCGAACTAATAGACGATGTCCTGGATACTGTCTTGAGGATCAGCGGGCTCAGCCTCCGTGCATCCTTTTTTAACCTAGCCCCCTCCGTTCTTTGAAACTGCTAGTTCCACCATTCCTCCTCCCGAAGACATACAACGTCTTTCATCAAGAAGTGACAGCGACTGTTTTGAGATCCAGTGGTTAGTATGTGCGCGCTCGGGAGCACCAGTTTTTCAGCGTCACATGTAGCGGATATCTCCTCCCAGTTACGACGATTGTTTTATGAAGTTCAAAAGCAATTCACCTCGAAATCGATAACTCATTTCAGCGCTTCTTTCAAGATTGACATCACCGAACCGATGAAAGTGCTGCTCAGCTCAGCTCCAGCACATACAGGATGTGCTTCTCGTGACACGCAAGACAATTTTCTCTGTTCTCTTCACACTGTACCTTCACCTGTAGGTACCATTGTAACGGTGGATACTACTGATGGGGCATGCGAGTAGTATGTTTTCTCGTAAATCCGCTTCGCGCCTCTTGAAAAGTGAGATCTAGTACGGAATTTGTGGAGCCGCTTTGTGGCATTTGCTCGCATTTGAGTAACAGTCAATGAATATCCAAGAAATTTCGGGAAGACGAGTTCAAGGAGAAGATGGATATTCAGTTTTGTAAACAAGATGTATATGAGAGTTTTGCTTCCCTGTCCTATAGTCTGTACCTGTTCAGTTCTATTAAACAACCCGGCAGCGAAGGCCCTCTTCCTTTCACCATGAGAAATCTGCGGCGGTTTCTCAGACTTATTGTAGTTATGCCCGTGCGAGGCCTGTTTGTTTCGTTTGGGAGTGAGTGGGTTCACCTTAAGCGGTTGACATGATCTCAACAACTATCCCTACACAAACGACGTGGTAGTTCGCTGTTTTTATATTTCGTGACTTAGTGAGTATCACTCAAAATTTCTAGCTCATTGCTTATTCGCGAACCTCGCTCAGCAGCGAGGTAGTTTCGTCGGTCGTTTGTGTGCATGCGTGCATTCCGATTGCTCGTAGCTGGCTTGTCTTTGAAGTGATACTTTTAACGTAATCTGATCCACTGAATATGTTGATCGACATTCGATCGACCAATCACATGGATTTTTTGAGCCACACATTTCAAGGACAACTGGTTGCGGTTGAATCACTTGGACACACCCATCTGAGAACGAGTTTTAGTTCGTGTACAGTATATGACAGGTAGAATATTGGGTTAGATTTTTCTGTCAGTTTGGCCACCCGTTTTCTCCCAACTCACCAACTCGTTCCTCTTGCGTTGCTGTCCACAGTGAGAGTAATATTGGCCAACCTATTTGTGACACTTCTATTTTTTCCCTCACAGTCCCCTACGCATGGCATCAGTTGAGTTGTACATTCTTTTTGCCCATATTTTCCCAGGCCATGAAACAGGGTTACCAGGAGTCCAAGTGCATGAACTACCTGGTTGATGGATTTCCTCGAAATGAAGATAATCGGACGTGTTGGGAAGTGGAGATGGGTTCAAAAACAATTCTCAAGCAAGTGATCGTGGCCGATTGCACAGACGATGTAAGTCGAAATTCTGGTTCTTTTCTCGACCGAGGTAACTGCTTTGCCTACGTACTTGCTTCACGTCAGCTGTGCTGATTCTGCTGGCAAAACGACCACGAGAAATTAGCGAATATTCACTCATTCGCCAAATAATTTGGTTTTCCGAGAGACTCACCTCGAACCCAGCTGAATCTCGCGTTGGTGATGTTTCCAGGCAATTGAATGTGCTGCAGCAGGCCGCCTCACGTTTCAGTCGCTACGATATTCGAAATATTTGTACTGCACTACTCATGAGGTTGTTGAAAATTCGTCGACGATCCACGACCCATTTCGCCCTTCTTAGGGCTCATCAGGTAGGCGCAGCCCATTCAGTTGCCTGGAAACATCACAAGCAAGAGATTCAGCTGGTTTCCAGGTGAGTCTCTCGTCAAAACCAAATTAGTTTGCAAATGAGTGTATTTGGCTAATTTCGTGCAATTAGGTTTCAAGTAGAACATAAGGGCTCGCCCCTGAAAAACCCGAACGCCGGTAGATTACTCGGTGGCAAGCGCCGTCGGTACGCCCACTAGAACGTGCCGTTGCATCCACATTCTCACTAGTCCACGATCGACTAACTGCCCATCCGTCGTCGATCAACCACATATGAGTTGGGCGTACCGGCGACTGCAGTGTCCAACCGTCGTTTGGACGCCAACAAAGCTTTTGATTGATGATTCTGAGACAGCGGGATTCACCCCATACAACATAGTTAATAGTTTTGGTACGGCAACCTCAACTTGATTATCCCAAAGTAGGACGAAATCGGTCGTGCGATGTCTACGGATTTTGAGCAACCATCCTTGTCAGCTGTAATAACCGCGTACTTGTCGTACAGTGGTTGTAGCTGCCACAGTTTCGTTCACTGATGATTTGGGGAGGTGGGGTAGGTAGCTGCACGTTGAGGCGGGAGCTGATAAATTAGTGCGCAAATACAGCACTGTAGATAGACTGTTAAGTGGGGGGATTGGGAAGAGAGCTGTGCATTGGAGGCAATGGCTTGAATGCATGAGCCTCATTGAGGGCGCGACTGGGCCATGTCTGACAATGTCTCTAACCATTGATATGGCCCGTCTTGGGGTCCCCATCCAGGAAGACGGCAATAACCAGCGCAGCTGAGTTTGCTGGAAGTGGCTTTTATATTTCGCTGCCAAGTTATTGTTTGAGCTCCTCTGGCTCTCTTCCACCCTTCACGTGGTTGTGCGAAAAGAGCCCTTCGAGGGAATCGGTCGACTGGCATACGCAGCATGTGGCCAAGCCTGCGCAACCTATGCAGTGTGACCAGTTCATCTATCGAGGGTGAGTTATTTTTTCCCAATACCATTCGACGAACTTTAGAATTGCTGATCCGGTGTTCCCACCAGATTTGGGCAATGCTCCGAAGACATCGATGGTCAAAAATTGAAAGTCTTTTGACGTCCTCGGCGCGCAACGGCCACGGTGGGCTCGAACCCTACCCTCATGCTTGCGGATGAACCGATTGAGGTAGTAGACAAATTTGTTTACCTGGGCAGCTGTGTCGGTCCCGGTGGTCTGGCGAAAGATGATATTTCCATCCGGATTGGGAAGGCCAGACGGACTTGTGAACTTGCGTCATCTGTGGTGTAGGCGTGACATTAGCTTCTCTGTCAAGGGTCGAATTCACAATGCTGCGGTGTGCTCCATATTTTGAGCAATTGCCCGGTACTGTTCGTGTCATACAAAGAAAACCTCACTCGATATCCTCTCAGGGGTAGTGTGCGTGCTTCGGAAGAATATCACCATAGTATCGGAGGGGTAGTGTGACCTTGAATGGCCGTATCATTCCCCGGCAAAACTTTGACCGACTTGTCCAACCGCCTACGGATAATCAAAACCCAATACAATGTTCAAGTTCATCTTCGAGGCACAGTGTCCAGAGCTGCTCCATAGATTTCTGGTAAAAACAGTTGTCCATTTTGTGAGCGACCTCAAAAACATCACTCCTTAAAAGAGCGATTACCACTGAGAACTCTCCTTCGGTGCTTATCTGCCACGCCACCCATAAAAAGCACGAGGGCTGGGATACTGCCTAGACAGAGGAAGTCGAGAGGCAGAGGTCGGGTTCGAACCACGGACCTTCCGGTCAGTAAATGCGCGCTCTAACCACTTAGCTGTCTCACTGAGCCCCAAAGGACCGAATCAAGCTAGTCTGTCCAGTACACATGGTTTTACAGCCTACTGAGTAGGTTGGATTCGGCAAGGGACGGTCCTCCTATTGCCATAATTAATTTCGATTTCTCCCCGTAAGTTTATACATGGCGTCCAAGCGTTTTCATGGCATACGGACCAACTGGGGCCCAGATTACCCAGACGTGATGGCTTGTTTTGCTATCCTTCTGCAGATATGCATCGAGCGGTGCTTAGGACGCGATTCCGGCCGGATAGATGATAATGAAGAAACTCTTAAACGCCGGTAAGTACAATGATTTGTTTGGAGTCTTTATGAATGTGTGCAGTTTCTCAGAGGGACCACCACAAAACGGTCTGTTCTAGGAAGATCCCACGATTCAACAGAAATTTTAGCAGATCAACTAAGTACGGTTTATTATTTCGAGGGGAGGATCTTTTCTAGAAGAGGCGATTGCTTCTTACCATATGCTTGGGTTAACCCTCCATGGCTGAAGTTGTATGTGTATGCCACTCTACTCTGGCAGGTCTTGACGGTTCTCTTTCCTGTGGACAGTAGACTTGTTCTGTTCGCACTAACCAGCTGTTAACCTATCAGATTATCTGACTGTTTACGGCTATTCAATAGCGATTGCTTGCTGTCAGTGGAGCCAGTCTATGCTAAAAATCCTAGAAGCAATGCACGGGTGTTTCATTCTTGTTTAAATCATCAGCAGTGCGCATCTCACGAAACTCCGGAGAGTTTCGAGCCTACGACCTTCCGGTTAGCGGTTGAACTCTTGACCGTTTGGCCAAGCGTGGTTGATCAGCACTGTGATTCTTTCTCACTTAGAGAGAGAGAGGACAGCGGTTGTCATCATTCACTAACAAAAACCTCATCACGTGGTCATGTACTGATTAGCTAATCAAGTGACGCCTTCCCGGAAGGAATTATCACACATCCAGTCAAATTATTCTTCCTCTGAGCTGTTTATTCGTTCATGATTAACCAAAATATTTTGCCTGATAAGTCAATGTTTCAGGATCTTTGTCGTCCTTCGAGTAGGGCCATGTAGCGCACCCGGTCGCAATGGGATGTGATAGCAGTCGTCATAAAATCGTTCAACTGTAACACCCTTCCGGTGCCTAGCTGCAATGCCACCCGAAGGAAGCACGAGGGCTGAGATACTGCCAGGTTGCCCAAACCTAGACAGGAGAAGTCGAGAGGTCGGGTTCGAACCACGGACCTTCCGGTCAGTAATTTCGCGCTCTTACCATTTGAGCCATCTCGCCCCAGTTGTCAAGCGTCCTACTAACACTATCCGTCGAATGTCGAATACCTTCAGCAGCGACTCTGATGGGAACTTTTGAAACTCTTGGTCAAATTTTAGAATCAGGTGGTATGCACTAATAACAGGTTGTACTGTGCAGTTGCTAGGCGAACCTTGTATAATATGAAATACAGTGTGGAAATGGAATAACTCATCATCATCGACAGCATGTTCCACGCTGCCGTACAACTATGATTCATTTGAATTCCTTATTTTGAAGAAAGGAATAAAAGTGGACTTGGAAGGGACCTAATTCTAGCTTACTACCATCATCCTGAGGTGCCTACATCTCCAGACACTCATTCAGGTGATCTGCATAGAAAGTGGCAACAAGAACGCTGTTGACACCGATTAACAGCTGTTTTTTCAGGCGATATGGGGATCATGCGGTCCCCATCCTGGAAGGTGAGTAGCACCGACGGTATCGAAACGTTTCGTAATCTCTTTCTGGCGCTGGACACATTTTTCAATGGAAGTATTCGTTACACAACCGAAAACTCGCTCTCTAGTTGCTCCGTTCGGATTCTCCGACACCACCCCACGCCAGCTGTTATACTGAGACAACGATTGTCGAATACTTGAAGACATCTTAGTTCCGTTGCTCGAACAGGCCAAGTCTCACAGCCATACAACGAAAGACAGCCCGCGCTGTAACGTGATACACACTCCCCTTGAGATTCAGGAATACACCTCGCCATAGGTGTCTCAAATTAGCAAACGTGATCCGAGCCTTGCAGATTTGTGCATTGACCTCATCTGTCACACCACAATCAGAACTTATACAACTTCCAAGATATGTGAAATGCTCTTCAACTTTGAGTGCGTGTAAATAAAATGGAAATGGTAAGTGCGCTTGTACGGGTCGAACTGAGCGAAGTGGTTTAAACGTTATTCAATCAAAGGGGAACCGCTACAAAACACAGGAAGACAGCCGAATTTCCGTTGAATGCTATCAGACAGTTCGCTTTTACTTATTCCAGAACTGAAGCCACCACCTTTGGTGCATTTCTGCATTCTCCTCGTAGAGAGCTACTGTAGTACCTGCACTATACAGGTACTGTGTTCAGAGCATCCTGTGGATCATTTCCTAGATAAGATCAGGATGGATGATGAATGAACCGGATGATCTCACGCCGATCAGCACCCTACTTTTGGGTGTACAGAACTCTCTCTATAGCGACTGCGTTCAGAGTAACTGATCTGACAAGACCTTACGACTGTCCAAGTTAGTGACTATTCGCCCTTTCGAGGAAGTCTTTTCGAGCGAAACTAGTTTGTTTGGCTTTATGCTCGACCGTTTGAAGCTCATTTGGGCCACTTCGAGCCAAGCTTCCTGTAGCGCTGGGTTCCGACTGCTTGAAAACCGTTTATTACTCGATAGGTCCCAAGAAGGGCGGCACCAGTCATTTGGATTGTACGCAAAGGCTGTCTTCTATGTATGTTGGGGATCGTCAGTAATCCACTGAAGAGAGCTTAATCTAAGGATATGGATTCATTATGCTTTCCGCACCAAATTTGTTTAGGGTTTTGCATATTCAACAAGACAACTTCGTTCGCATCTCACTACGTCGCTCCCAGTAGTCACGTGATCGTTCGTCATACTTGTGCTAATCAGTGTACTTTTCCACCGTCCAAGAAGCACTCACTTGCTTGTGGTAGCTCTGCGATCAACTCAGTTCAACGCTGTCAATTCTAGACGGCACCACGTGACTTCAACGTGATAGGCAGAGACAGATGAGGTTTTGTTTCTTCAATACAAAGCGATAAATTTCATTTTGAAAAGCCACAAGGTGTAACAAAGTAAACGAGTGGACGATTAGGAAATCCTCTATCTGTCTGCTTACTTCCGTAGACAATTTTCGAAGATTTTTTCAGCGACCTTATGAGTAGTACATTGGATCTTCAGGAAAGTTCTCAGGGCGAATTGCACCGATGTTGGTCAGCCACTGTCTTCCTGCCCTTACTTGATTTGTCTAGATTTTGTTAATTGTACACATTCCTATATTGAGTCACTTCTGATTTTCGATTCCCACATCACCCCGCATCTTCTTGAGACCGCTGTTCCACCTAAGAAGTATCACACGGTCAATTGAAACCTGACTCGTCCACAGAGTTTTGCACTAGACTGCCCACTTGGAATATCACCAAGCAGTGTTGCTGGTGTGGTCCGCCTTCCAAGGTTTGGTCCTCCCTGTGCTTAGCTGGAGAAATTGAAAAGAATGGCGTCTGTATCATCAGTTTTCCGATTAAGCGCTTGGAGCTGTGAGCACCTTGCGGGAGGCTAGCACCAGGTCCCATCCTTCACCCACTTCTTTTGTCTTCTATTCAATTTAAAGTTTTAAACACAATTGTATGGCAGTTAAGAGTGAATGTGGATACTACTGGTCTTGCTGTCTCTGTTGATGATGACGACGCGTTCAGCTGTAACACCGTTTTGTTTCCTAGCCGTTATGCCACTCGAAGGAAGGATGATCAACCTGCGATACTTCCAGGTTACCCAATCCTAAATAGGTGGGGGGACGAGATGTCTCAACTGGTTAGAGCGCAAACTCACTGACCAGAAGGTCCGTTTTTCGAATCAGACCTCTTTCTCTCAACTCTCCCTGTCTAGGCCTGGGCAGTCTGGCAGTATTCCAGCTCTCGTGCTTCCTTTAGATGTCGAAGGCACCAAAAGGGTGTTACAGCGGAATGCTTATAGCAACAATCGTGATGTCGGGTTTGGGTTCGAACCACAGACCTTCCGGTCCACAAGCTGATGCCTTAACCACTGAGCTATCTCGAGCATCCCAGGCCTTGAAATAGTGGTAAATGACTGCTCAAACAATAACGCACTGTTTTTTTTAACCACTGAGCTCGAGCATCCCAGGTCTTGAAATAGTGGTAAATGACTGCTCAAACAATAACGCACTGTTTTTTTTTGACGAAAAATAACTAACACTTACGGGAGCGAAAACGATCTACTAAAACTCTCAGGGGCTTACACCTGGATGGCATCAATGTAGGCCAAAATCCTCTGTAATCTTTCTCGCTTGCCGGTTCCAGCCACTTGGTGTTGGCACTTTTTTACGGAACTATTGACCAGTCGAATCGTTGCGTCACTTCGCCCTATTTCTCACAAGTTTCATCGGGACTTATTCCAAACGAATAAAAACTAATTGATTACCTTCAGTCAGGTGAAAAATACTCGGAGCCGATTGAGTAGTCAACGTTTTTGAAAAAGTTTGATGACAATCGGTAGATTTATTGCTGGGCAGCGTTTCGCTTTTGATGCGAAAGCCTCGTCAAGCCAAATGACTAGGTTCCGACGTCGATCGAGATTTAATTTGGAAGGATAGCCAATCCGCTATGCATCACAGGGTGAATAGAATCGAGGGTGTAAAACTGGGGAGAGTATGGAAAGCGGTCTTAGATAGGCCAAGTTGACACATGACTGTGGTTGTCAGTTCACGTAGAATTACTAGCAATAACTGGGGGTGGGGATGGAAATCCCAACCCGACCAATGGTCACAACATCCCTCTTACGCAACTATCTTAGCACTAGCTCATCCACACAGACTGACAGAAGGTTCAAACGAAGTTCAAGAGGGA